ATTCAGGCTGGCACCATGCACCGTGGAGGCCTGAGTAGAAACAGCTGTGTCACTCCCTTCAAATACCACGACTGCCAACCTCTGAGGAGGCTCCCAAGGGCTTGCCCAAATGAGCCACGCAGTAGAGAAATGCCACGTGAAAGAGCTGTGGCCTTTGGGTTGTTAGGTAAACCACTGCATAATGTGCTTGAGTCTGGGGCTGGGCAGCAGGGAGATACAGAGGGAGCTTGTTTTTCATTTTCCAGTGTCTTTGTAAATCTGCTATGCAGATGAAGCCAAAGAAAAAAGGATGGCGAACAACAGACTGACATGACAAATTGCCCATAAAATATCTTCATAATCATATGATAACCAAAAACGGGAATCAAGCCACCAATTACATTAAACTCATGCTACCTTGGCAAGGATTGTTAAATTAACCCTAGCAATAGTCCTTCGGCCGTTCACCGGGAGACTTTCACATCCTCTGTCTCACTGTCCACATCTCTCAGTGCCATGGTGCCTCTTTCTCTCTCTGACTCGTCTCCCCCCCTTTCTTCTTATCTACCTCTCCCTCTGCCTTCCCTGGCCTCTCTCTCTCTCTCTCTCTCTTACTATATGTTTGATTTCTCCATAATTCAACTCAAATCCTGTAAAATGTGTTTGAGTTTTACATCACCACCATAATGGCTTGATCTGTTAGAGAGTTGCTAGGAGGTTCTTGACCAAAGAAGGACCTACCCTCTCATAATTAACCTATTTCCAGCAGTAAAATGAGCCTCCGACATCATTTCCTTTTATTGCCCTCTAAAATCTGAGAAATAAACAATCTATTCCAGTGATTTTGTGTGTGTCAGAAGATAAAAATGTTAACCAGCCCATCAATCACAGAGCGTTTCCATTTCTTCCAAGCAATGTTTCTTTATGCCAAATTTTCTTTTGCTTTCCTTGGAAGGGTGGACGTTAGCAAATGGCCAAATGTGGGTATTTTTTCCCACACTTGGGAAAGGACTTCCTTGAGCTGCACATGGCAGTATTTTTTTTTTTTTTTGGTTTTTTGGATTTACCTCCTAAACTTTCTGAATGAACCCATTATGCATCTAATTCTGTACTTTCTTAAAAACAGATTTGTAATGAACTATTTTATACCCCTTAAATAATTTAAAATCCCAAAGATGTAGTTTTCAGTAAAATCTTAGCATGCACGTTGGTATGTGCTGCATATATTTGATTGCATTTATTTTACATATTCAGACACAGGTACATTTCAGTATTTCGTTATTTTCTGCATTGGTTTGAAAGAGCTATTTATTATCACAGAGTCATCTCACCAGTAAATATTTATAGGCAGTTTTATTTCCAGTTTAGGGTTTGAGTATTGTATCTTACAATGCCTAAAAAAAGGTATTGTTGATTCCTATTTTAGCTTTTGATAGAGAGTGTGTTTATGGCACGGCTGTGGGAGGTTTTTTCTTTAATAATTTACAAAATTACCTGCAGTAAAATCTTCACCTGTTCTTTGTTTTCTTAGCACCACAAAATTGGAATTACATATAAAATCTTTCCTTCAGGAGATTTATGTCTACCACAGAAAGAAAATCTCCACTTAAATTTTTATGAAACATCAAAATTACGGTCTCCTTTAGCAAAACAATACAAAGAAGCCTTTGTTGGATGAGGACTATTTCCAATATTTGAGGACATCATTTTTTATCTCCCATTTAATCTTTATTTTCCTGTGGCAGCTTCTTTTTTGGTTTCATCGATTCCCGTTTGTATGTGCAGTGTGCTAATTTGTCTTTCATTACAGAAAGTTCTAAGTGCCAACCACAGAGGCTAACCCCAGCCAGAGGACAGGCCTCCCGGACAGCTGTGCTTTTCACAGTTTAATTTGAAGTTGTTACATAAAAGGACTGACGTCCAGTTTCTCTCTTTTCCCCAGGACTGACCACCTTATCCTTGAAGAGGGCGATGTCTCAACCTGGCGGCCCCAATTTAGCTGCATATAGAAGAATAGAAGCCGAATGCTGTCCTTCACTGCAATTCGGATTTAAATCTCTCTTTATTGAATTATGTGTTTTAATAAAGGGTTTATATAATATCCACAGAGCAGTTATCAATTAATTACCCATGGAAATTTAGGGGATGTTACACAGTGGTAGTTATTATACCCAGGGCATTAGACATATGTTACATAAAAGATGCAGTCACCTTGAAATTGTATTGGCAAGGCTGCCTTTTGCCTATAGAATATTATACATTCTAATGTGAAAATTGAGTTAAAAACCTATTAGGAGATGGGAATGGCATGTTCCAAATGGTTTAAGGCAGACTTCTACACATTTCCAGTAAGCTCAGCAGAATTTAAGGAAACTATGCACACTGAGAAATTTCCTAAGTTCTTTCTCCTGTCACCCATGGCTTGGGACTTGGCATTTCAGAGATCAATTAGGCTGCTCATGCAGAGCCCTGACCCTGTCCCATCCACCCTATGGGTTCATTCAGAGCCACCGGCAGACACCACCTCACCTCAGACCTAGGGGTGGAGCTGTGCATTCCCACGGGAGTCATAAGCCCAAGATATGAAAGCTTCACTCCAGTGCACCAATCCCAGGGGAAGGGGCCTCAAAGAGCCCAGCAGAGTGAGTAATGGAGCAAATAGGAGCCAGGTAGTGGTACAACGGTAACGCAGCATCCCATATGGGACCCATATGGGAAAGGCCCTGAGTTTGAACTCCAGATCTCCTTGAACACACCTGATGCACACAGGTGTGACCATGATCCAGGAGGCAGAGGCTGTGGGTGGATTGTGGCATGAAGCCCTGGTTGGGTACCCCTGTCTCTTTTTCTCTCAGTCTCTAGAAATAAATAAACTTAAAAAAATTATAGTGATGATGGAAGAAAATGAAAGGCGACAGACACTCCAAGATCTGACTGACAGAAGGGAAGAAATAAGTCCTTCCAGGCAGTAGCAAACACAGGGAATTGTTGGGGTGTTGAGATGTGGAGGCAGAGAGAACACCCAGCTGGTTCTCAAATCTGTGAGAAAGGGGCCAACAGGTTTCAAAGGGCAGCCCTACTCCATTCCTGCCCTGAGAACTGCTGAAACTTTCAGTCTCCAGTCTTTCCACATTTGGAATGAAAGCTTATCTTGTTTGAGAGCATAGAATAGTTTGTGATGTTTTTAAAGTTATCAGGAATAAAAATGACTACCTTCCTGCCTGACTGATGAAACTGAGTTGCATTAGTTACTGTCGAAGCTAGAGCCTAAAATATTAGCAAATCAAAGTCATTACTTTTAGGCAGTATGCTACATTGATTTTTAGAAAAATTACCTCCATAGTTATAGTTTAATTAAAAAATACTAGAAACTTGTTTTCATTTAGCAATTCATTAGATGAATTTGAACAAAATCAAAGTCAAAACTTTACCACAATATTTTGCCTCTTATAAGAACAAAAGTAACCCACTCATTCATTCACTTTCGCCTTCATTTCTGTGTCTATGCATACTGGAAAGTCCTTCCCAGGGAAACAGAAACAAGGGACATAGGCCCTGCCCTCAGGAAGTAAAGGCAGAAATGAAAATGAGTACTCAAAATCCAGCTGATAAAGGATCTCCAGGGAGTCATGAGAAGTGATGTGAATGTCTAGAAGCATTTTACCTAATTCTACAAGTGAAAGCTGGGACAGGAATGGTGCTGAATCTTTTTTTTTTTTTAGACAATTTTGCTATAGGGCATATGCGCTCATTGGAGAGGCAGACACAGAAAGCGGAGAAATCACCCCCCAGAAAGGATGGCCACACCACAATCCCTTCTTTTCCACTCTCCTCTCAGGTCTGGTACTAGAACTGCCAATTATGTGGGAGTCCAGCAATGTAACCATTACAAGTCTTAATGAACAATTCCGAGACAGAAAAATAAGGAAAAGAGACCCCTTGGAGGAAACATCCAAACCTCATGGAAAATCCACCAGGACCCTTTCTATAGTCACCTTTACAGATGGCATCTGCAGTGACAGTTGGCTTGGTCTCTGAGTCCAGAGACTGTATCCAGGGTGGGTAGGACACTGGGGAGACCCAGAGTCTCTTGCCTAGAAGCCAACACTTTCTGTGAAAAACCCACTGACTCTAATTTGAGAGTAAACATTAATGGTACTGGGTAACCAGGAATAACAGAGACTTTGCAGGTAAATATTTTCTTCCAAAGCCTTATTTTCCCTAATGGAGTTTTAGTCACTCACTGCTATCAAAAATAACTTAAATGGAAATTCAACTAGGTGCTTATGATTAGTTTGTAAATGAACCACAATTAACGTACTAAATACGAAAGATTATTACACTTGAGAAAGAAATAATCTGCTGATCGGGGAGTGTTCTGAAGGTAAGCACACTACACTGTGATTACAAAGTCAGATTAGTTCTCAAATGACAATAATCCCTGATATTCAATAGTGCTGTCACATTCTTGATACCCCGAGAGCTTTAAACAAAACCACCCAGGAGACAGGAAGAGAGGAAGTATTACCATCATTTTAAAATATGGAAAGGTTTGATTTACCCAAAGTAGACTGAATTATCAATAGCAAAATTACCAGTGTCTATATTTCTAAATCTACCCTGGAAGTCTTGTATCACTTCTTCAGAGAGACAAAAACCAATAGAAGAATTCAACAATAGATAGAGAGGTACATGGAGATAAAAGAAAGCGTGTGTAAGGAGAACTGCTCACGTGACGGACGCTGAGAAGTCCTGACAGGTTGTCTACAAGCTGAAACCCCTGGGATGCCGGTAGTGTGGTTCAGTTCAAGGTCCAAAGACTCAGAACCAGAGAAACTGATAGCATAACTCTCAATTCAAGGCCAAAGGTTTAAGATCCTTAAGAGCTGCTGGTGCAATTATCTGAGTCCAAAGGCTGGAGAACCTGGAGTTCTGATGTCCAAGCGCAGGAGAAGAAAGGGATTCCAGTTCCAGAATAGAGGCAAATCACCTTTCTTCTGCCTTTTTGTTCTGCCCAGGCCCCAACTGAATGGATGGCGCCACCCACATAGAGAGAGGGTAGATCTTCCCTATTCAGTCCACCAACTCACGCACTCTCATGGCACACCAGAAATAATCTTTACCAGCTCCCTGGGTGTCGCTTAATCGAGTCTAGCTGACTAAAATTTAAGCATCACAAACCTCTATCTGACATTATATTGTATATTATATATGTATCCTAATGTACATATGTTATGTGAAAAATGATATCAAGCTTTTCAAATGCAAAGTTTAAAATATGATTTTGAACTTTTACAAAATTGATTCTATGTGAAAGTGAAGATTATCTACTAACTTTATCTATCTTTCTTTCTATACACACAGGGTTTGTTGTTTTTGTATAGCATGTAATTACCTAAAATTGATAATAGAACTCAAAGCATAGCAATATTTTTTGCTGTAGAGAATAGTTGGTAAATTCATTTATGAAATTTTAAAAAATTATATAACTTTATTATTATTTTTTAAAACTTGCTTGAGGGTATGTGTGCTCATCAGAGAGGGGTAGTGGGAAGTGAGAAAACAAGCTGCTAGGTCTGGGATTTGAACTGCAGTCAGCCGTGTGAGAGTCTAACCCCTTAACCACCACACCACCTGCTGGCCTTTATCTATGACACTTAACAAAGAGTTGGAAGATGAAAGAAAATTGCTGCTCATGTAAAAATGAAAAATATAATTAATCAACATACAAAATTAGAGGAAGACAGGAAAGAAACATAGCTTAAGTAGATAATAAATGTAAATAATTTGGTCTACCAAAATAACCCAGTGTTCTTTGTAGCATTATACTATTCAGTTTCATGTTCTACTTTCAGTTCATTGAATAATTATCAAATTTGTATTTATTTTTGGTTTACATATTTATGGTTGATATTAACTGTGAATTTTGAAGTTTTATTTTTAACAAATTTTAAATATTACTTTTGGCTTCAAGATTAAGAAGTAAATACATTATCTATATGTAAACAATTGTCCGTTCTTTCATTCTTCATTTAAAAGACATGTTTATGTAGGAAATAAATTAAAACCAACTAAATGGGACCAGCAGTTAGCATAATGGCTATGTCTCTGGACTCCCATGTAGTCAACTGCAGTTCCAGTCCTGGACCCGACGGCTTAAACTCACGCTGGGCACGTGTGCGTGCGTGCCCAAGATCCCGAGAGGAGAACAGAGGAGAAGGGATTGCGATGTGGCAATCCCCCCCCGGGGGGTGATTTCTCGCTTTCTGTCTCTTTTCTCTGTCTCTCTGGCGAGCGCACGCGCCCTTATAGCAAAAACCTCTCAAAAAAAAAAAAACAACTAAAGATTTTCTCGTAGCTTTATAAGGATATTTTAAAAGGTAAAACATTACATAGTACCAACTAAACAAAAGATTTTTTCTTCCTGTTTTATTGTTAGGACTTTTCATTTTTTTTAAAACTACTCTAATGACTGAAATCTGAATAATTGGTTCTTAGGGCTGAAAGGGTAATTGCCCCCAGAAATCTGTGAAAATGAAATAATTAATATATTTTATGATGTAACGGGAGATTTAAAAAAAAAAATCCCTTGCCTAAACATATACATGTCACTGTATTAGTTCCTAAAACTGCCATAACAAATTTACACAAACTTAGTAGCAAAAAAAAAAAAAAAAAAAACTCTTTGGCCTGGTGTTAAAGCAGCTATAGTCCACATGGCCAATTAAAGTGAAGTTCAACTCCTGGATCCAATGACTTGAGAAACATGCCAGGTGCCTGTATTTGTGCCCAAAATCCCAAAAGGAGGGAGAGATGGAGGAGAAGGGATTGTGATGTGATCATGCCCCATGGGGTGGGGGACATTGGTGCTTTCTCCTCCCTCTTTACGTGTCTCTTTCTGGAGAGTGCATGTGTGCTCTAGCAAAAAGAAAGAAAAATATCTTCTCACATTTTTGGAGGACAGACAACCAAGATCAAGATGTGAAAAGGGCAGGCTCCCTTAGAAGACTACGGATGGGAATCTTTCAGCTTCCGGTGGCTTCAGCATTCTTTGGCTGTAGCTGCCTAACTCCAAACTGTGCCTTGTCCTCACATAGCCTCCTCTGTTCCTCTCTCCTCTGTGTGCCTCACAGGGACACTTGTCATTGGATTTAGGACTCATGCAGATAATCCTGGATGATCTCACCTCAAGATCCTTAACTTAGTTACATCTGCAAAGACCTTTGTTCCAAATAAGGTCACATTTATATGTTCTTGAGGTTAGAACATAGACACATATTTGGGGGGGGCGTCATCATTCACTCCAAAAGTCACTTTCCAAAGCTTTACACTCACACATAGATCACTATTACATGGTCATTTCTTACTGTTACTATAGAGGTAGGAGCTGAAACATTCTGTGTCACTGAATCATTGCATATCCCAGCAACAGTGATGGGAAGAAAAAACTCTGGGAAGAGTGACCCTTGATTTAGGTTCATTGTTGTCTTATTGAAGATCCACATTGGCTTACTGGTGTCCTCAGGCATCGATTACTGCTGGTTTCCTCTGTTGGCTCAAACTTGCCCTAAGTGTTTTATCAACTACAATTTGAAAATCTTGTGTCACCTCCCTTGTCCCTCCCGTGTCTTGAAAACACCTTTTACCATTTAGGTGGGATCAAGAGGAGATTTTTTTGTTTTATCATATGTTTGTAGTCCTGTTGGAAATCAGGAAGTTTCCACTGTTTGGGGACATTTTCTCATGGTGACTATCACCTCTTCTTCAAATTAAGAGACTTGATTGGAAAAACAAACAAACAAACAGAAACCCAGGGTATTTCTTCAAATTTAATATTTTTTCATGAGCTTAAAATAGGCTAAATGAAAGGGAGACTTGACATTTTTTACTTGTGTAAGTCCCCCTGGAAGGCTTGGCAGAGGAAGGCTTCACCTTTCAGGACTGATAGGTGAGAGGTAAGGGCAAGGGTGCTCCCTGAGCCTATGCCAGAGCTACCAGAGCCTCTGCTCTATCTCCCTCCTAAGCACTTAGCTAGTCCTAGCCAAGGTCGGCAGAGCAGTGAGCTCCCGAATTTAGGGATTAACCTTATTGATATAAACAGAGTTTCAGAATGTTTAGACTAGGAGGGTGTGTATCCTGACCCCACAGAGAGATGACACAGAAACTTCGAGTTTGGGATCCTCCTAGGCTCACCCTGGCTATGATGATTTGTATCCTTCCGTTATAATAAAACTATACTTAAAAGTGTAACCCTTTCTTGAATTCCGTGAGTTGTCCTAGTGAATTATTGAGTCGAGGGGCTTAGTAAGTACTCCTTGGAAGTAAGAGTGGCCCTCAGCTGGCCACTGGAGCGGGGGTGGTCTTAGGCAGGACAATGCCCTACACCTGCACAGTTCAGCCCAGCCCCAGCTAGCTGGAGTCAAAGTTAGTACAGCCCTGCTTCCCCCGTGGTTACAAGTTTCCTACTGCCGCTGCCGTCAACTAACAACAGGCCAAATGGCTAAACCAATATGCAGGTGCTGTCTCACGGTGTCGGAGCTTCACTGTCTAAAATGGGCTCATAAGGGCTGCTTTCTTTCCAGAGGCCCTTTAGGAGAATAAGTTTCCATGTCTTTTTTGTCCCTGGAGGCTGCCCACATTTCTTGGCTCAAAAGAGTATGGCATGTCATCATTTCTCCATCACTTCTGCTTCTGTTGCCCCATCACCATCTCTGACTTCCACCCTCTGCTGCCCTCTTATAAAGAACCTCTCTCAATTGCACTGGGCCTACCCAGATAATCCAGGATCCTCCCCCATCTCAAAATCCTTACTTCAGTCTCATCTGTCATGTAAATGAATGTGGACACAGGTTTGAAGGATTATTTGGGGACCATTACTCTGCCTACCCTGGATGGCTGTCGCCAGTAGGAAGAGACTCAGAAGGAGTAGCCTCCACTAGGTTTTATTCGAAGCCAAAGTCATACTTTTAAATCCTTTCAAAAGGCCCAAGTATATTTTGCTAAATGTAATTGGTTTCTGTCTACATAGGCCTTTCTTGTTAAAATTTAATTATTACTACCCTTAGGGTTGTCTTTCTTTAATTTTTCTTTGTATTTCCTCTTACATACCTATTATTATTAACCCAGATCTCTTACAACGAAAGTTTATATCCGGGGATGGAGAATGGGATTCTAAATTCTACTGCTAAATCCATTATATTCTTTTTTAAAATGGCTTCTGATCCTAACCCTCTCATTTTTCTCAGTAGCAATATAAGAGTAAAGTAATAATGGGTAAGTGAATGAGCACAGGAATTAATAGTATCTGGATTATAAATTTAGCTTTCTCATTTAACAAGTTGTACATTCTCTTTTCTTTTCTTTTCTTTTCTTTTCTTTTCTTTTCTTTTCTTTTCTTTTCTTTTCTTTGTATTTATTGCCAGAGGACAGAGGTACTCCACATAGAGAAACAGAGACAGAGGGAGAAGGTACCCCCAGCGGGCACAGCCATGCCTCAGTCCCCTCTCCATTTTTTCTAGCCTGTTGGTATTTAGAGCCTGCCCTCAGATGTGCCCAGCATGTTTTTTAAGCCACTGGGGCTGGGATTCAACTCCTTTCATCACGAGGCTGTGGGGCTGGCCTTACTTGGATGTGACTTGGGGAAATCACTGAATCTCTCTAGGGTCAGTGTTCTTCGTCTATATAATGGCAATATGCTGCAATAATGTTAATCACTAGGTCGCCACGAGGATGAAACGTTCTTCACAGTGCCTTGGGTATAAAGGGCCAAATCGTCACCTTTTTACTTCACTTTCACTATCACTGCATACCTGAAATGGCGCCTACCTGCTCTTAAGAGAACCTGTTCTCACAAATTCTTACCCACCATACCTTTTGCTCTAAGGCCCACATTCTCCATATGCACGTCACTGCACCTGGTGAGCCAAGTCTGCTCTCAGCGTTAACACTAACTTGCTTTTATAAACCAGGCAGGTGTTCACCAGCCAGCCGTGGGTGGAAGGATGAAGTATAATTTAGAGGAAGGGTTCGTCTTGGCCTTCACTGTAGTCTCCCAACTTTTGAAATCTCCACAAGAAAAGAAATGATGTCTGTTCTGTAGGCCCCAGCGCTCTACACCTGGCAGAAGGTAGGACACGTATGCACACTTCATGCATATTTGATAAGTTAATTAAGTAGCTGATAAATGCCTTGATGGCTTTGGTTTTCTCTTTCAAGTTTTTGCTCTGTTCTCATTCTCTGTTGCTATTTTTTCTTCCCTTTAAAATACAGCCATAGTTTGGGGGCCAGTAGGTGGCATGGTGGTTAAGGGTACTGGGTTCCCACATGGCCGACTGCAGTTTGAGTCCCAGACCCAGCAGCTTGCTTTCTGGGTTTCCCTCTCTCTCTCTCTCTCTCTCTCTGTCCCTCTCTGGTCAATTAAAAAAAAAGTAAATAAGGTTAAATAAAATAATTCTTTTTAAAAAATATATAACCATAATTTAAAGAACAGCCCAATGACTACCAAGGACTTGCTCTTTTGGTAAGGTTTTTCTTACTTCTGCAAATAGTACTACTGTATGACTGACGTATGGAAAGCACTTGATAAATGCTTCTTGAATTAACCTTTCCTGCTCCAAGTAACATAAGCTGCACAAGAACCTTCACAAATAACACTCATGATTGTAGTTGTAGTCACAATTAATTTGATCATTTTGATTGACCTGGAAATATTGTTCAACCAAATTCCTTTTCCTAAACAATGTGGCTGATTGATAGACTGAACCGATTACATAAAATTCAAATGCAATTTATATTTGCAATTTGCAATCAGTTTAGTGCATGTGGTGGGAGCCATCAAAAATATTGTTAGACTACTAATGACACTCCCAGGTCATGTTTCATATAATTTTTGCCTCAAGTTTTGGGGTTCCTCATTGTTTCTTTCATGAAGTAATCACTCCAAGGTGTGTGTTGGGGCTGGATTGTTATAGCAAATGGCAAACTGTGTTAATGGGAGTCAGCGAGGAATTTAATTATTCTCCCAATTTCCAAAGGCAATGATGTATCACATTAATACTTTTCCTTTGCTTTTCCGGCACGTTAGTAGCTGAAAGTAAAATGATGTCCCAGTCCCTAGTGTGTTTGCAAAGGTGCCATAAATCACACCTCTGCTCCTTTTCAGCAGATAAGCCATTGTGTCCCGATGCTAGTGATCTGCACAGACCATGGACAGAATGACACAGGCTATGAAATCCGGACAATGTGTTATTCCAAACTTACTTCAGGAGGAAGTTTTTTTTTCTTAATTTGGGGATTTTTTTCTAAATGATTTCCAGTTTGCAGAGCTGATGATTTTTTCTTATCAAACCTTCTAAAGGCATGTGTGTGTGTGTGTGTGTGTTTCTGTTTTGTTTTATTTTGTTTGCTATGTGGTATGTGTGCTCACCAAAGAAGAGAGAGAGAGAGAGAAAGTAAGAAATCGTCCCCCTGGGGGAAGGCCATACTGAAATCCCTTCTCCTCTAGTCTCCTTCCAGGACTTTGGGCACACATGCACACAGGCCTGTTGTGATTTTCAAGCTGCCAGCCCCAGGACTCAAACATGCAACTGGCCATGTGGGATCCAGCCACCTTAAATTCCATGCCATCTGTGGGCCCAAGTTGTGGTATTTTTAATTATCATACTCAATCAATTTTAGTTGTATTGTCAAAAACCTCTGACATTATGATAATCCTGCAAATTTACACCCTTACTTTTTTTGTGTGACTAGGCAAACCGCATGTAATCTTCAAAGACTACACCTCCCGGCATCTCCTAATAGTGTGTGATAGGGCCTGACTTCTGAGCAGTGCGGAAGAGGGGGAGTCACCTGAACTGTGATTCTCACCACCTGAACCAATCAAACCAGTTCTTAGGACATCAGACCACCTGACCTTAGCAAAACAAGACCTGAATGCAGGTTGTGCAACGGGAAAGTCCAACCCCCTAATTAGAAGACTTCTGACAATTACTGGCAAACGTGACCAAAGCAGTAGAAACTTGTAGAAATGAAATTTCCCCTTCATTTCAAAATATTATAAAGTCTATAATGTTGAGTACTCAAAGTCAGTTAAAAACGGAATATTTTTGTATAGGACAGAGGAAAAAAGGGAAAGAAGGCTAGAAGAATAGGGAGAGAGTAGGTGAGAGGGAGGTGGAAAGAGGGAGAAAAGGAAAGAAAGAGAAATTGATTTGGGAATACTTAAATTAAATTAACTCTGGCTATTAAGATTCTGTATCAGTTTATTTTCATTTACCTCTACTTATATTCTGTATAATCATGAATGACTTACAAGCAAAAAATTTTATTTTATGAAGAAATTGATTTATATACAAATGTCCATAGTATAACAATTCTCATTTATATATTTTTGCCAGATACCCAAGATTCCATTCATTTGCTTGCCCACAAAGACAGTTACCGATTTCTTTAGCTTCTTTTTTTATGAGAAAGAGACTAAAAAATAAATCTGAATATTATTTTTCCACAATATTTACTTTATTCATCTCTCCAGTCACATAAATCCTATGGGAGGGAGGGTCTTCAAAAAGTTTATGAAAAATGGGTATTATAAAAAAGTATGTGTGGATTTCAACTTGTTTTGGTACCAAAATAAACTTGTATTTTAATTTCCTTTCCCCAGAAATGTATGAAGACTCTTTGTGTACCATGTGTGAATGGATGGTTCAATGGCTTTTCCAAGCAAGAAGAGGAAGAGAAGAATTGTTTCTTCTTAGGAAGGTTCAGATTCTAGTGCCCTGTGGCTTACAATATTTGTGGTATTGAGAAAAGACAATATAGCAACACTACAGAGATGCCGGGTTTTTTTGTTTGTTTGTTTTTTTGTTTGTTTGTTGGTTTGGGTTTTTTTGGAGAGATTTTTGCTATAGGGCGCGTGCAATCGGCAGACAGAGAGAGACAGAGAGACAGAAAGCGAGAAATCACCCCTCGGGGGGATGGTCACACTGCAATCCCTTCTCCATTCTCCTCTTGGGATCTTAGGCACGCATGCACACGCACCCAGCGTGAGTTTTGAGCCACCGGATCTGGGATGCGAACCGCGGTTGACTACGTGGGAGTCCAGTGACATAGCCATTGCGCTAGCTGCTGGTTCCCCAGAGATGCTGGTTTTTTTTGGGGGGGGGTTGTTGTTGTTATTTCATTTTGGTTTGACTTTGTGATTGTTATTTTGCTTGTCCAGTTTTTTGGAAAAATGTATGGTGAATTAAGAATTAAAGTAGTCCACGGGGCCAGCAGGTGGTGTAGTGGTTAGGATACTGGAGTCCCACATGACTGATTGCAGTTTCAGTAACAGACCTGATGGCTTGAAAATCACTTTATGTGTGGTGTGTGTGTGCCCAAAATCCCAAAAGAAGAATGGAAGAGGAGAAACTGTGGTGTGCCATCTCCTATGAGGGGCGATTTCTTACTTTTCCTCTCTGACTCTTTCTGGTGAGCCTACATGTCCTATGATAAAAAAAACTTTAAAAAAAAGAATTAAAGTAGTCTTATAGAAAGAGAACTGAACAGAGTGGTAATGGGACACTGCGCCTCTTTCACTGGATCTTCCAGGCCGTGGGAAGGTATTTGGGCACATCTGTTCCTTCTATTTTCCCACCAGTAAAATGGGAATGTGAGCTGCCCCTTGTACTTCTCAGAGATCTAATAAAAGGACAATGGATAATAAATGTGCAGAAGTCCCTAGGTATATTTAACAAACTATATTAGTACCAGATGATTTCCTGGTTTCTAATTATTAGTTTTTGCCAGGCTCTTGCGAAGAACTTTACAAGCATTTCATCTTTTAATCTGTACACATGGCATTGTGTCATTGCCATTTTATAGTTAAGCAGCTCTAACTAAGTCAGCTTATGCATCGCCCAGGTCTGCGCGCTAGCCAAGTGACTGCACAGTGGCCTGTGCTACTCCCTGCACTGCGGAGCCTTCTGCTGTCTTCCAGGGCAGATGTTTCCAGCTCCAAGGGTGACTCGCAGGCACCTCAGCTCATGCCCCCGGGCTCCCTGTCGTCACCAAGGCCTGAGATGCTACTGCACCCACTCTATCAGATTGGAAATGTCAGAGAGGTCAAAGATGTTTCACAGGCAACATAAATGAATGTGAGATGGGATGGAAGGGTATACTTTTTTCTGTTCCCGTCCTTCCTGTGTTGAGTCACTCCAGCTCTGTTCAGCCTCTTTGAAGACATCCTGAGACAACGAGCAGTCAGCTTCCACAAAACTGTGGCCCAATTTTGGTTTACTTTCTTTCATCTATTTCTCTTTCTGGGCTCGCCTTTCTCATGTGTGCTTCCCTGGGATTGCATTCCCATAAACTATGAGACTTACGTTTCTATTTCAGTTTTTTTTATTTTTTTTCTCCTAAGAAACCCATGCTAAAAGAGAAAGCCAGATTCTCAAATTAGCTAGCCTGATGGGGATCACAGAGGCACAGGCACAGGATCTAGTCCATAGAGCACCACAAAAGAATAGAAATTATGTCAAAGAAAATTCAATTCTGGACACCATCGGTCTGACGTAAATAATAACACATTCTGGGCCAGTCAGAATGTGCACAGGGAGCCGGATTCCACATGGCGGACTATGGTTTGAATCTTGTCTCTGGAGGCTTGGAAAAACACACCAGACATATGAATATGTGTACAGGAACCTGACAGGATAGAGAAATGAAGCAAAACATGATTGTGGCATGACCCATCCCCATTACGGGTACTTTTTCCCTCTCTCTTTGTCTCTTGTGCACACACTAGTACCCTCTGGCATAAAGTAATAATAGCAAAACAACACATTCTGTCTATTCCAAATAATACTAAAGAATGAAAGCAATAGCAAACGAACTCGGAAAAAAATTCAAGGATCTTTCTATTAGTTAGATGGGCTATGCTTATACTACAGTAACAAACTATCTTACAATGTCAGTTGCTTAAAACATGCAAGCTCTTTTTGTGGCATCAGGCAGTTCTTCAGAGCAGCTTAGTATCTATGTGATCACCAGGTGATCCAGGCTGCTGCAAACCTGTGGCTCGGCCATCTCAACCCACTGCCTCTAGCCAAGATGGTGAAGAAAGAGAGAACCTGAAACTTCATGGACATGTCATTGTCCATTAATCTCCTCAGTAGGGGCATACATCGGGGCCAGGTGGTGGCATGGCAGTAATGCAACTAGATCCACATGGAAAATGTCCTAGTATTATATCCTAGATCTTTCTGAGCAAATGAGGCAGGTGTGTTCATGGCCATGATCCAGGCCAGTTGAGACTGGGTGTGGACCATGGCATGGGGACTCTGGGGGTGCTTCTCTGGCCCTCTCCTTCCCCCTGCCTCTCTTCCCCTGTCATTCTGCCTCTCCCTCCCTCTTTCTTTCTCTCTCTTCCTCATTCTCTCTCACACTCACAGAGAAAATGAATAAATAAGCCTTAAAAAGAAAAAGGAATGAACATCCATGATGTTTTAGTCATATGGGTTCACCCAACTTCAAGAAGTTGGTCTTCAGTAGTCCTTGAAAGAAAGGAAAGCTTTACTGAAAAACACTGAAGAAGTCCACTAAAACCTGTTTGTAATTTCCACACAGGGAGTGGTTACTGTTTGCTGATAGCTTATGTAAATTTTTTTAAAAATGAGTTTACTCAGGATAATAAAACTAAAGCCTGAAAATGTATTAGAATTTGTTCATATTACTTAATCTAAAAATCTGCCACAGGAGTCAGAATGCCTCAGTTGCCAGCATAATCACATGGCTTTGGGAGAGTCATTTCACTTCTATGAGGCTTAGATTTTTAAATTATAAACAGGATATTGGAATAGGTGACATCCTGAGTGTCCCTTTCAGATCTCCATTTTATTTTTTTTTGCCTCGATTGTACTGGAGAAAACAGAGATCCTACAAAAGAGATGGCGGGAGATTTTTTGCTCAATCCTCTGCTGCCATCTCGCAGTCAGTATTGCAAGCACTGTAAGCCCAGGATTTGAACCAAAGGATACTGCTTATTCCTATTTTAGGACTGGATGTGGAGGTCGCACCTGCTTGAGTGTCTTGCTGTGCTACAGTAAGTGATTGAACGTCAAAGAAAAAGTTAGTGCATGACTCCTAACACAGAAAATGGTGCACTAAATTTTGTCATTTTCCCCACTGTTTTATTATCCTTACCTGTTGAGAGAAAAGTGATTAAGCAGTGAGTGTTAGCTTTACTTGCAGAGTTAGAAGAAACAGTGCATGCTGGTGGAACGGCGCCTGCTCTATGATTAGCTAATGAAGCAGAGGGGAGAGTGCATTGAAGAAATAATGACAGCAGCCTAAACCAGGATGGAGGGAGAGGGATCACATTTCCAACGGGATGAGAGAGCAGGCTTACTAGTAGAGCTTCATAAGACATGAGTGATTTTTATCTTCCTTTTCCTTTTTCTTGTCCCAATCTCTTCAAGAGAATCCCTTTATGCCCATGGTTCAGACAAACTTTGCACTATGAAATGAAAAAATACACAGCCAGAAAATGACCATCTACACAAAGCCTTAGTCTGATTCCTAAGCATCAGTGTTACCAACGGGTACCCACCGCAGGACTTATTAATAGTGCATTCAGTCCCATTGTGCGATGCTTATGCTTTCCTGAGTGAGTTAAATAGAATCAATTCCTACTGTCTACATGCCTATGTTTCAGACCACACAACATTAATGTGGTCAAAATAGAATTATCTAACCTGGGTGATAGTAGAGCAAAAGCAAGCCTATTCTAAATAAGTATTACATTATGCTTTGAGTTCAGCAGTTGTGGTTTTTGTGGAGTGAGCAAGTAGCACATTAAAATAAAGGTGAGATTCAGTATCACACACACTCAATTGTGATGGGCTGTGGGGAGGAAGGTAAA